AACTCATTCTGGATCGTGTGGCGGTTGAAGCATTTAAGTATGTCATTAGGTTCGCCCTATCGAAGTGTAAAGTGCTGCTCAAGGATTCGCTTTCACCTGCTCCCATGCTCACTCTTGTAGGTTCACAACTTGAACAGGTCGATAGTTTCGTCTCCCTTAGGACCTGTGTTTCCTCTGATGGCACTATCAGCAAAGCAGTTTCTCTTCGCATCGCTAAAGCCCGATCAGCATTTATCAACCTGAGACACTTGTGGCGTCGTCACGACGTCTCATTCTCGCTAAAGAGTCGCGTTACAGCGTATCTGTTCGCTCAGGCTTTTTGTATGGGAACGAGTTCTGGCTGATTCGCTGGGAAGACATGCGTCCTCTTTCCGCCTTCAACAACGTTTGCTTAAGGGGGATTGCTCGTGTTTGGTGGCAACATCGAGTTACCAGTGATGACGTTCGACGTCGCATCTCGGGGAATGCGAGTATTCTCTTCAACAAACTGGTTTTGCTGCGCCAGTTAAGATGGCTCGGTCATGTCCTACGTATGGTACCTGAGCGTCCACCACGCCGCGCTCTGTTCGCTTGTCAAATACATGGCTGGAGGTGACCGCGTGGTGGTCAACCTCCCACTTGGCGACAGCACATGAAACCTTCTGACGTGTCTTGCCTCTGTTGAATCCTTGCGTCTTCCAGGATGAGGAGTGTCAATGGATTAACACACTTGAAGACATGGCCCGCAACCGGAATCAGTGGAAAAATTGTGTACATAATGGTATTGATTCACGTGTTGAATACTTCAAACTTGAAAAGGACAAAAAATAGAAAACAAACTATAAATGCTTCGTTGTATTTGCTGTCAGAATGTTCCATTGCTTACTGCGACATATTAGCTGAAGTGTGTCGCTCACCTTCAACTATGTGTCATGATGATTATGACGTGGCGACTCTGCCTCTTAGCTGCTAATCTTAATGGTTTTGTATGCTCTATTTTGACTCACTAAATTGTAGAGGTTACTGCTACTACTATCGTTTTGTATCGCTACATATTAGTTGAGGTGTATTTCTCACCCTCAGTTAACGTGTATTGATGATGACGATGATGTGATGATGATGACGACCAGTATGGGGCTCTTTACGTTCGCAGGTGACCCATTCGAAGCTGCAACGTATGGTCGCTAATCTTTTATAATAGACACAGCGGCCTGTTCGGAATTTGAAGGTCATGCACAAGAAGATAACAGAGTTTAACTAACGACACTGTAGCTAAGGGCGACGCACAACTCGATGCCCTGAAGGAGGAACACCATGGAGGCGTGGAGCGGATGTATAAATTGGCACCGACGATGGAATAGCTGGCCGACGATGTCAATGGGCGTCGCGTTCTGCGCTCGGAGGCGCGAACAAGGGGATGTTGATTCCTGTACGGGAAACCGGGACAGTGGAAAAGACAATGTCCGGTGAGGTGCGCTGCTGCTCGTGTACCAAATACACGCATTCAACCTAGTTTTTCTTCTCGGATCGAGGAATGTGTACTCGGCGTGCTGAGTAGGGGCCGATCGAGGCGAGGGTGGAAGTAGACGAAACGATGGAACGGTTTCTGGTCGATACGGATGCCGCAGTGTCGTTGATCAACCAGCGGCGGGGCGAAAATCTTAGCCGGGCTCCATGATCATGAGAGCTACCTTAAAAAGACCCAGTTTAAGTGTAAGTTGGTGTAGCCCAACTGCGGTGAAGGAGCATCAGAAATGCAACATCAGCATCAGCATGTGGCACAGCTCCCATACAAGCATTTTAACACCATCCGCATAGTGAAGCTCGGTATCCCCCACTTAACACCTCAGTCGGTGTGGCACAGATTGCCGAAGAAGCAGTCAACGCCCTACGAATGTAGTATGCCCCAACCTTCCAACAAGACGTCCAGCAGTGTTACATACCCACATCCCTAGCCCAACCTCAAAACTCACTACTGACTTAGCTGTCTTGAGGAAACCGCTCTCACTGCGGACCCACAGCTTTCCCGCAATCAAGTATATTCACCCAAGGGCGCTGAAAGTAGCAGCAACAACGCTGGCAGGGCCGTCATCGCATTTCTTCTAAACCTGTTTGGATAAGCAAAGTATGTTTACCATGTGAAAACATGGCTTAGTCACTCCAGTTTTCAAGAGCGGTAATCGCTCGGAACCCGCCAACTATCGTCCAGTTGTCACCCTCCCTGTGCTCTCAAATGTGATGAAGGCAATCCTCGTTGAGGCTTTAGTAGATCACCTAAAAAGCCCCAACATCCTCGCACCCGAGCAACACGGTTTCTGCCAGCACCTTTCATGCATTACCAACCTACTGATTGCACGCAGTAGTTGGACGGAAGCGGCCGAGGAAGGCATAGGGACAGACGTCATTTACCTGGACTTCTCCACAGCCTTCGACTGAATGGACCACGGCATATTGCTTCACAGGCTCGAAAGCTATGAATTTGGTGGGTACGAAATTGCTTGCAGGATTGGCAACTGCAGGTCAGAGTTCGAAGTGCGCTGTCCTATCCGATTTCTGTCGCATGTGGAGTTCCACAAGGATCAGTTCTGCGGCCGCGTCTGTTTCTCGTGTTCACTAACGAGCTTACGTGTCTGATAGCCTCGGATTTCTCGCTTTTCGCTGATGACGTTAAGATGTGGCGGACGATAGCTGACCCAGCAGATCACGATGCACTTCAGCGAGACCTGACCAGAGCATAATCGTGGTCACTCCACAATCTGCTCTTGTTAAATTCGGGGAACTGTGAGTTGGTTCACATTCGCCACCAGTCGAACATCACATAAAAATTGGAGACCATGTGCTTCAGGCAGTCACCCAAGAGAGTGACATTAGGGTACTAGTCCAGGCCGGTCTGGGCTGCTCTAAACAATCTGAGGAGGCGTCAAGTACTGGGAACCAACATGTTGGCATACTGCGGAGGCGATTTGGGCGGTTTAAGCCCTCTGCTTGTTTGCGTTTGCTTAATATCGACGTGCGGCCTCATGTGGAACACGAAATGCAGGTCTGGCAGCCCTCGAGACCCCACAGCGACAAGCCACGAAGCACGGCATACGGTTGTTAATTATTCCTTATCAACTAAGACTGAGGACTCTAAAATGATACCGGCGCATATTTGGTGCCCTTATTATGGCCGAACACGTTTGCCTCCACCTGCTACAACTGAGTCACAACACGAATTTGAGAGACCCCCAGTTCAAGTTAGTCACACAATACAGTCGGCTAGAATGTCGACAGAACTTTTACTCTCTCTATGTGTGCCAAGAAATGTAATGCCCTCCCAAATCAGGTTGTTACCGCCCCCACTTTACCAGTTTTTAACAAACGCCTTGGCGTTGCCCCATCCGATCAATAGTACGAGATATAGCCTGTGTGTCTCGACAAGTGATATAATGCGACGAAAGTTGCACAGTCAGAAGTAACGTACACGAATGAGGTTGGCGATTTCTGCATACCTCTGTCTTAACACTGTAGTGCGTCCACCAACACGATTTTCATTTTTTCACTGCTTTCTATTCACCATGTTGGTTTTCTTTCTGGTTATTCTACGGGACTTGCTAGCCTTGCCAAATATTTAGCAAGTTCATGAGTCGGGGAGCCTATAGCGTCGACTATGGGCCGTACGGGAACTTCGGGTTTGTGAACTTTTGACAAGCCATAAACCCTCGGAGGTAAAGTCGTGCTTCACGGTCCTTAACTAGTTACCAAACTCCGTATTCCTCTTGTTCATTACTAAGGCCACAGTTTTACAATAGGTATTAATATACGCGGAACTGTCAGTAGGATCGGTAGCATTAGAATACACAGACATTAAACGCTCAAACTTACGCATTTGTCTTTTCTTTGAATCCTGTCTATGTTTCGATTTGACATCTGAAGCTTTATTGAAAATTCGGTTGCAGTCGAGAGTCGTTATAGCGGTCTTTTGATCCAGGCTCAGCCGACTCAGGTCGATGCGGATCTCGCTTAAACGCTTGGTTACTAGGTAAATCCGCTGTCTCAGAAAGGCCTTGGAAGTATTAAATACAATCTGTGCAGAGATGTACGTACTGTCCAGAGGTTTCACTGTGAGACATTTGGGGATCAGGTTAGCCTTAAGACATCTCATGTTGAAAACGTGATGATTCTTCCAGTTCGCTTCAAATTCCATTAATCGAACGAACTCACTTGACAATTTTCGAGTACTGGGTCCGTATTTAGTTTCAAATTCTTTGAACATACTTGGAACCGATCGAGTAGTCTGAACTCATGACTACTCGATCGCTTTCAAGTGTCTTCCATGTATTTGGGACGTTAAACGTTGTCCAGTCTTCCATATCAACTTAGAGTGAGGACACTAGAATTACACAGCGGCCGGTACTGGTGCCTACGTGACTACTTCAGTATGACCTGGCAGATTCTAAGGAAAGCCAACCACGTACGCTGCCACCTACTACAACTGAACCACAACAAGAATTTGAGGAGATACTAGTTCAACTTAACCAAGCAATAACGTTGGCTAGGATGTCGACAGAACTGTTACTCTCTTCGTGTGTGCAAACCATGGGACGTTGTTTCCGCCCCCACCTAACCTGTGTTTAAAAAAGCCTTGATATTGCCCTAACCCACCTACACTAAGTGATATAGCCTGTGTGCCTCGACAGACGATTTAGTGCGACGAACGTTGCATAACCAGAATTAAACTATGACTGACGTTATCCCTTTCTGCATACCTCTGTGTTAACACTGTGGTGACTCCATAAAAACAAATTTTATTTTATCATTATTTTCTATGCTCCAAATTGTGGTTCTCTTTCTGGCTATTCTACGGGACTTGCTAAGTATCCACTTTTTGCCCGTAATATACCATTAGTCCATTGTTAATGCCAAAAGCCGGCTAGTTAAGCGGCTGAGTATATGAAAATGCTCGGCGGTCGAGGCGTGGGCTAAAAATCCGCTCAAGCTTTTCATAAATTTCGCAATGTCAAAAGTGAAAAAAGTAGACCGCACTATCATGTAGCTGCATATAAAGGAAGCAGCTCCAAAAATACAGTTATCACAGAATAAAAATATCAGGTTGCACAGGAGTCACAAATTTGTGAAGCGATTTAGAATACGGTAGTACGGCCATCGATTGGTCTATTCTGATGTCACGATTTATTTCAATTATGAGCAATGTCACGAACGGATCCTCCACGGGCACCCATCAGTACAAGCTTTGCGTCACGTATTGCTAAACGTAACTCTCGCATCCAGATACAGAGTTCTCGCTTATCACAACGAAGCTGCTCCAGGTGTACCAAGAGCGTCTGAAAACGAGCCTTTTGAGAGGCTCTGCAGCGCCGTGAGGCCTCATTGTTCCGGATCCGTCTGTTGATCCATCTTTGGTCGCTGGTTGCTCCGCGCGAAGAATTCGTGGTCGATATCTCCTTCAAATGGCAGGTCCTGCTGCCATTCTTGGTTTCAAAACAATGCAAACCCTCTGATTCGAGAACCTGTAAAACTGGGCAATGAGTCTACATTTCGGTGCACTGTGACTTACCTTGGTGAAATAATCATCAAGTTCGTCGGATACTGCGCCCTCTTCGAAAAACTTCAAAAAGGCTTCATGTAATTCTGGTAAGTCGAATGACCCGGCCTCCTCGGAGGCCAATGCAAGGTCAATGACAGCATCAAAACCGCTTGATGCATTCTCAGAGACAGCTCCGGCGGGCAACCCGCTTGATGTCGCTCGTGGACTGCCATACGTGAGGTTCAAAAGATGGTGAGTATTTTCCGGAAACTCATTTATCCCGCAGGTACTGTGAACATCTGTATCGTACTCATCCATATCGACGTGTTCCGAGGACATTTTTGAATTACCTTTCTTACGCGGAGACGGCATGCCGAAGTGTGGAGTTGTTCTATCTGAATCAATCGCATCGTCAATAAGCATCCTCTTCAAAGTTTTTGAACTATCTTGTTTACTAACCTTCTGTATCAAATCACACAATACCTTATCAGGCTTTATTGGTTTTTCGTCTAGCAAGTGGCTGGCATATACTTCGATTGGGTTGGAGTTAGACATCCGTTCCTCTCCTTTTCCTCTTCGATTCGATAGGGGATGAAACAACTCAGTCAGTGAATTGTTCAAGCACCAATCCAGTAGATCTTCTGAACATAATCGAGATGGTCGGGCTGAAGAATTCCTATCAGAATCGCCGGTGACATCGGTATTGTATCCAACAAGTTTTCGCAATAATCGACTAGGGCAGCGACCTGTGGTTATGAACGAGATTACAAATTAGACCTAGACGTCATAAACGCAGTAAGCGAACCTGGAAAAAGTAGGTTAAAATGTAAAAACTCACAAGCTCATCTACGTGTCTCTGGGTAAGGAATAGTACAGTAAAATTCCGCACGCTGTCACAGCTAGGCTAACTATGAACACTAACTTGGAATTGTGCTTTGGTCCAAGAAACGCAATGCGATAAACGCAGGCGCTGTAAAACCAGCGAACAATCGTATAAGGATGAAAACTTAAACTGAGAACAAAATCACAGGATGGGAAATTAACGTTTTAACGTAAGCTATAGAGAGAATGAAGATGATAACAAAGTAGTTAATGAATTCTGTTTTGATTGATTCCGTCAGCCTCATCCAATGAGATCAGTCTTATCAGCTCAAGTATGTTTGCCAACCAGTAGTGCCAACGACTGAGCGCTTTGAGTTACTACCCAACTCCATAAACTAGGGGCAAAAATAATAATGAAGTGGCAAGATTGATAGTCATTAGGAGAAAAAGACAAGACTAACGCAAACGGATTCAAATTCAAGCAAGTATCCGGTACGGCGCATGATGTCAGTACACCGAACGTACTCGACGTAGTACAGTAGTACGTCTTTGATGACTTAATGGTACATCAGGGATGCTGAGCAAGCGCTGAGGAACAAAGATGATGGTAATTTGTAACGAGGCCAGTCGATGGGCTGATTGTACTTGTTCGAATTAATCGTACCACATTCGTCTACTTATAAGTATTAAGTAGAAAATTAGTCCCGGCCACATATCTGTGTAAAGCGGCAATCCAGCACACCTAGAGGGGGCCAGTGGGAACGCAGCGTGCGGTAGACGGGAAGTATCGCTCGCACTTGTTTAAACCAACCGGCATTAATACATCAGAGAAATAAGAAATACACGAATGCAAACAGCCTAATACTACGTCTTTTCGAGATGACAACGGTAAATTGAATTGGTTTAACAAAACGCACTAGCAGAAACCGGTCTTTAAAAGTAGAAAGCACCCGCGGAATATTCGGGGATGAATGCCATTAGAAATATCACGATTACAAATCCATAGTTCTTAATTATAGCTCGCTCAATTCAGTTTAGCCACTATGATCAGTACATCGAATTGATGCGGAAAGGGTCACAAAAACACAGCCGAATCAAGTAACCCCGATGGGGGTAGTGAAAGAAAATACAAGTATGCAAAAAACAGAGGTTAAAAAATAAAGGGTAAGAACAGTATACTTAAATGTGAATGGCTAGAAGCAACCGAATGCATGAGCAGTAATAATTCCAAAGACGGTATTATGTCCTATAAGGTCTGCGATTGATCCTGGGGTCTGATCAGGTCGTGTAATCATTTAATTCGTGTTCATATGCGACCTCATCCAATGGCCACCAAGCCGTTTTACTCAACTAGGTGAAGAGATAACATGCCGAGAGGCTGTTAACTGGTACCCGAGCGAAATGACGCAGCTAGAATAAGCTATTCAGAGTCAACCGATATTCCAAACATCGATTGGAAGAATGTTCGAATTTTGGAGGATTGCGACACGCAATTTCCATTTTAGCTTCGGATGACTTTGAAGTCAGCCACTGCCATTACGATAACTGTCAAGCTCTGCTCGCGGAGCTCAATGGCCTACTGATCACGACGATGGCCGCCAGGTACCGAGTTGCACTTCCAGATCAGTTTACCTTTACCAGACGAATTCAAATCAGAACGAAACCGGTCCTTCCTGGAGTGCAGTGGTGAAAGGGAGCAACACCGAAACCATCGACTGGAGAACTTCAGTTGTCTTTACTCGACCCTCCCGCCATCTCTGTGCAATACATCATAAGCGACAGTGATTGACGAAGACCAAATTTTTAATGTCGTCAGTGTGAAGTTACCAGGTTTGTGCTCCATGTGGAAACATTAGGCTTATCGCAGCTTTGCATGACCTAACTACGACTGATATCCCGCAGTCTACCTGAATGACTGATACTCTGAAGAGCCACACAGGGTTTGTCGACATGTCGAGTAACATCCTCCATGGTGTGCCTACCACAGGTAATACAAATGCCTGGTTAAGGGAGCTATCCGCCAAATTCAGTGAGCGCATGGTACTGCAACAGTGCATTGTACTTCAAAAGTAGGAAATGGAATACCAAAGCATACAGCGCCTTTTGTCAATTCCGTCAGAAGCGCCGCACAAAGGAAGTGGTCAACCAATTGCGAGTTAATTTTCCTGCCTTATCCAAGTTCGTCGGTTGGCCGTCTGGTAGCCCTTCCACAACAGAAAGAGGCTGAGACACTAAAGTTCTGCAAACGTAGCTGGGTCACAAAACTGAGGATGCAGCTAGAGAAGTTCAAACCAGAGAAAGTCACTTGTTTTGAATATGGTTGGCGGCATCCGGTTTCGGATTTGCCTGTCACTGTGGCCAGCCACAGGACGCCTGCGCCTACAGAGGGACCATGGATGGATTGCGCTGCACCACCCACAGCTCCAACCACACACCCCCATATCCAGTGTAAACCCGAAGGAATAAGACCGGGAGGCATGTGGATGGGAGCCACGTTTCATCAACGGAGCCGGCCCACACTCCTTCACAGGCAAACACAAGCACCCTGTATTTGGGGAATCAATCGCATACAAGGCGGGGGCTGGACAGTAGTCCGCTCCACACTGAGTGCATGGAACCACTCTTTGGCCACAAGCGCCGTGCACCCTGTCCCCTCCAGCAACGACCAACTGTTTCCTGGAGCCAGTATGGACGAGGTAGTGGGTAATAGACAGCTAGGCACCTTGTCAACATGCACATCAAGCACAGCCTCACCGGGGATATCAAGCAACAACCAATCACTTGAGAGAAAGATAAAAAGAAAATAAATCGAGTAATGCATAAGGAAAGGGTGACATATATCTTAAAGTAATGGGCATCTGAAGTAAATTGTTTACAGAAGAATGGGAGATAAGTTCACGAGGTCAGAAAGTATACTTTACGGAAATGCCACGAACACAAAAATGTTTTCGAAAAGGACTAGAATTGGCTTAAGTGACGTGTGCAAGTTTATAGAAGAGAGTACAGGTAGACATTTACATGAGAAAGCAAAGCATTGGGACAAAATTGAAAACCTACCACCTGAAATAAACAGACTTAGCACGCAAGCAAACGGTGACATAAATCTTAAATTAGTGGGCATATGAAATAAGTTGTTTACAGAAGAATACCTTTACAAAAGAATACGAGGTAAGTTCACGAGGTCAGGAGGTTTATTTTACGGAAATGCTACAAACACGAAAATGTTCTCGAAATAACTACAAGTGGCTTAAGCGACGTGTGCAAGTGTTCTGAATAACAATGCTAATAATAGAAATAGTTCCCATCAAGGGAGAATGTGCACCAAAATTTGGCACACGTTACATTTGTGCAATTCAATTCAAGAAAGAGCTCTCTGTACCCGGGAGTGGATGTTCAGCAGTTACACACACGTCTACTGCAATGTAAAAAGAATACACAAAAAAGGTAATGAGCAACAAAGGCAGCAACATTGTTACAATGTAAATTTGCTTGTACGCTCCATGATGACTGAAGTCTGGTTGCACAAAAAGCACGCCAAATATGGGTATTACGGATACTTGGTAAGCCCTTGTACAGGAATAAATGGATCTGTACTTTTGTCTAGTTGAGGAAGTTGTTATACAGTCAGACAGTGCATCATAAATTGAGGGACTTGATTCAGCGAGTATTTTTGAAGCAACACATTTGCAAGAACTGTAATGAGTAGACAGAATAATTTCAACAAATGCTGACTTTAGAATACCACTACATCAAGATAATTGTGTCAATGACCTATCTGGAATTTCGAAATGCTTCCTTAGGAAACCGGTGAATGTCACAGGGGAGCAATAAGTCCAGTGAGGAAAGACACAAGGGAAGATAAATCTCAGCATTAGGCAGCGGGTGACAGAGGAGAATCACAAAGGAGCAGCGTAAAAGGAAAGCCTTCTCACTTTTGTAAACACTTCATTCATATGTAGTGACCATGGTAGATCACGGCTGAGTGTAACACCTAGATACCTCACAGACTCGGTGGAGTGCAATCGTTTACTATATATGTTAACTTCGGGGCAATTCATTAGTACTTGCTGTCAATGACGGTCATTGTGAAGGAAAAAGGAACCTCACTGCATTTTAATCCAATTAGAGGTATCATGCACTTGCATGGGCGATATGCAGGTGTGTGAGTGTTTTTTCGGTGTGTTGTTCCCAATCTATATGACACACGTGTTTGTGCTTTACTGTAAACAAGAGTGCACCACATGGCATAACCAGGGTACCATGCAAGAACATGGTTACTCCGGTACCAAACGGTCTGCACCGCTACAGACACAGTTTCCTGGGACACAGGAAAATATACATATTTTTGTTTTATACTTATCCTTAGGTAAAACTATGTTGTAATTCTAATGTAGTGCTTACGAATAATCAGACTTTACAGCAGTATCGAGTTATGCTTTACTCTTCACAGGAGAGACTTCTGAGTAAAACAACACCCGCGCTAAGGTGTAAACTTTATATCCGCATACTACCATAAACTTATATGTTCAGATGAGTTAAAAGTGATCTACAATTTTCGAATGATCTAAATAGTATTTCGCCTGTAGGCAATTGGAGGCACGGCAAATTGCATTAACCAGGTGGAAGACACATGTCAAAGTGTGCAACGCCGTGTTGTGTCACAAGGAAACGTTTGCGTTTGGGCTCAGCTCGATCCTAAAAGTCGCCACTGGCAGAACACCGGTCTACAAGAAAGTAAAATGAATTTTTGGATCACAAAGCAGAGAAAAAAGAGAGATCGAGTAGCACAGCTGAACACTACTAGTCATAGTGAACTGGGGCGACAGTTTACTTAGGTCTGCACAAAGCTCTGGAAACTGCGCTACTTATTTTTTAGAACACAAGCAAAGATTTACGACTGGCTTTTCAAAGGCACGCGATCCAG